CCTTCCTTCCTTCCTTCCTCCCTTCCTTCTTTCCTTCCTGCAGTGCTGGGGATTGAATGCAGGGCCTTGAGCATGCTATGTAATGCTCTACCATTGAACTATGCTCCCAGCCCTCTTCTTAATTTGCTGTAATATTTTTACAGAAAATCTCTAATTTCATCCCTAAATATTTCCATATATATATTTCCATATGTGTGTGTGTGTGTTGTACACATACAGAGATTTTATTATATAATCACACTACCATTTTCACTTAATAAAATTAATAGTAATGTTTTAGAATAATCTGAAATACTGTCCAAATTTCAATTTCTCTTATTTTCTCAAGTATGTCTGTGTCCTGGACAATTTGTTTCGTCCTCCAGACCCATTGTCCGCACAAGTAACAGAGACAGGAGCATACCTCAACAGATTCAGTGATGCCATTTATTAAGCTGCAGAGTCAATCRGTCAGGCATTGGAGGGGCTCATTATGGGGATAGAAAATGGCCCCCAGTTACAAGAGGGGTCTGCATTTTATAGGTTACAATTATAGTGACTTAATCATTGGAGACTTCTGCAGAACGTGTGTGTTTGGGCAGTCAGGAAACAGGTTGTAAAAGTGTTGCTGGGAAAGGATGGAAAGTCCCAAGCTTATCTTCTTCCTCTGAGGTTCATTGTCACTGGGAAAGGATTATGTTTGCCTTTTCCTCAGGGATTGTCATTTTCCATATCTTTCACTYGCCACGTTCCATCTCACACTACCCCTGAAGCTGACTGTAAGARTCAGCCAAACCGAGGCACGAGAAAGCCATCACAAGATGGAAGAAGACAGCAGTGGGGGTATTTATTTCTTGTTTCCCTTCCTGCCGCAACACTAAGGGTCGGCAGCAGCTTTCTACTCARGGTCACAGCTCCTGTCAAGTGGACCTCCCCAGACAGCCACCCTCTTCGGTTCCAGGAGCTGCTTCCTCTTCTCAGTTGTGCTATGACACAGGCTTCTCATCCTTGGCAGCTGCTGAAGACTACACCATTCCTTTGGGTCTCTGGCCCTGTCCACATCTTTCTAAAAAAAAAAAAAGGAAGAAAGAGAGAAACCYTATGTCCCCAATTGCCCACTGTGGGTGTGCCGTCTCTGTCCAGGACCCTACCTGGTCCTTATGTCCTTTTACAGTTGATTTGATGATCTGGGTTCCAAACAAGAGCTGTGTGTTGTCTTAGATCTTTGTATCTCCTATGTCCCTTTTATCTGGAACAGTGCCCTCCTTTGTTTGTTTTTTGTTTTCATGTGACTTATTTGAAATAAGTGGATCCATTGTTCCATAGAACGTCTTGCATTCTGGGTGTGGCTGATTGCTTCCTTGTGGGGCCCTCAAATTTATTCCTTTGTCCCTTTAGGTTAAATCTAGAGGTTTGATTAGATTCAAACTTGGATATACTTTAAAGTAGAGCTGATAGAATTTGTTATCAGAATGGCTATGGCATGGGAAAGAAAGAGCTGACCTCACTTTCCTTATTTGTAAAATGTTGTAGTAACGTCCACCTACCTACCTTGCTTTCTTTTCCMCCCCAGTACCTGGGATTGAACCACTGAGCCACATCCCYAGCCCTTTTTAATATATTTTATTTAGAGACAGGATCTCACTGAGTTGCTTAGGGCCTTGCTGAGTTGCTGAGGCTGGCYTTGAACTCATGATCCTCCTGCCTCAGCCTCTCAAGCCTCTGGGATTACAGGGTGGGCCACCGTTCCTGGCCTACCTTGCTTATTAATTTCAAAAAAGATCCCGATACACAGTTGCTACATGTATATATGTGGAAGGGACTATTGGAAAACAGGCTGAGCCAAACAGTCTTGGACCTTGAGCTGGGAGTCCTGAAGATTGGCTGATGGAGGCTGGCTGATCCATAGGATCAGCTCTCCCAGACTTGGAGGCCAAAGGAGGGCTGAGGAGGCAATGCCATTTGGGGAAGGATGATTCAGGTTGGGAAGCAGAGCTGGGGCCTTGTCTTCCAGGGAAATAGTTTGATGAAGATTAAAGGCAGCAAACAGACCAGGTCATGTTGCATCTCAGGGCCCTTGAGCAAGAGAGACAAGGAGAGACGACCAAATTAAGCCTGTTTGGAGATCTCTGACTGAGGTCTGGGGTGTGTCTTAGGACCTAAGAAGAATGTGTGGAGCAATGTGGGTGAATGAGCACGGGGAAGGAGGTGTGTGGGGACAGATGCGAGTGACAGGGAGAGTAGAATGGGCACCTGAGTGATCATCTCCATGATGGTATTTACAAGTGTRTGTGGGGGGTGGTTTGAGTGCGTCTTCCTGTGATGGGGATGGAGCTGGGGAGAATGAATGGACTTTTGGCTCTGGTTTTTAGAGCTGAAACATTTGTCAAAGGAGCCATTTTTGGCTTTGATAAGGAACAGGAGAAGGGATYTGAATAGTAGGAAGTGGCAAGCCCAGACAACCAGAGTGGAGCTGAGGCTGGACACTGAATCAAGAGCCAGGACCCTGCACTCCTGACTGTTTTGCACCTGCCTCACTGTGAGACCTGGTCCTTTCTGGGCCACAGTTTCCCTCTCTGCTCAAGGGAGTATTAGATCAGCTTATATTTGAGGGACTTGTTTCCTTAGACAGTATCCACCACAGGGGCTTCTCAGTAAATGTTGCTTGGTTGATTGAATAAATGCATGGATAAGTGGATTAGAAACTTTGTTACCCCCAAATTCCACCCCCCACACACAAGTTCACCTGTTTTCACCCTCTGAACTGCCCACACTATTCTCCATGAACTGTCTTGCTGCCAATCTCCATCTCAGGGTCCTCCCCTGAGCCCTGCAGTGCTCTGTCCCCAAGGATTTTGGAGCCTCAGGGTTTCTTGGTCGCCAGGGCTGCCCTGTCCAGTCATGCTGCTAACCACAGCAGTGCTTCAAGCTCCCTCTTCCCATCCTTCCTATATCCTGGTGGCCGCTCCCTTTCCTGGCTCCCTGGCTCTCAATTTCTCCCCGCACTGAGACACACAGACACTGATGAGCACTTAGGCATCCGCAGGCACACACTCCACCTCTCTCTCTCTCTTAACTCCCTCGGTCTTGCTCTTTGCTCCCTCATGCCTCTCTTGGACTTCTGTTTACCTCCCTCTGTCCTTCTCCCTCCATCTCTTCCTCGGCCCTCTCCTTTCCTTCCTGACTCCCTCCCGCCCTCCCGGCTGGCTAAGTGTTTTTTGGTCTCTTCTCCTTTTTCCTCTTTCTCACTCTTCCGTCTCTCCTGAGCACACCCCCTCATACTTTTCTTGCTTCTCTCTCTTTGGCCTTGCCTCTCTGGTCCTGCGGAGCTGCCCACACTCTACCCCGCCCCTAGCTCCTCAAGAAGCTCTGCCCAGTGCCCAGGGCCTTGGTGGGTCAGCTTGGAGGTTCCTGTGGCATCTGTCGAAGAGGCCCTAGGGTCACTGCATTTCCTCCTGGGGGTGACTTGGCAGTGATATGTTCTTTTTCCTCACTTCTGCAATTGCCAGAAGACAGCATAGAGGCTGGAACTAGGGCCCAGACCCAGAGAGACAGGCTCCTCGGCTTAAMGACTGGCCCTGTGACAGGTAAGCGGGGGTCACAGTCCGGCTGGGAAAGGGGGAAGTTTATGAAAATGTCTTCAAGAGGCCAAGATTGTGCCCACTGGCTGCAAATGGGTGGTTCTGTTTTTACTTTTCTTTTTTTCTTCTTCTTCTTCTTTTTTTTTTTTTTTTTTTGTACTGGGAATTGAACCCAGGACACTTTACTACTGAGCTACAGACCCAGTCCTTTTTATTTTTTACTCTAAGATTTTTCCATTAGGGTCTTGCTAAGTTGTCCAGGCTGGCCTTTAACTTGCAATCCTCCTGCCTCAACCTCCTGAGTCGATGGGATCACAGGCATGTGCCACCGTGCCCACTGTTTCTGTTTTTAAGGGACTACTCCGGCATCTTTCTTAGGCCTAGAAAGAGCATCTTGTGACCAAACATTTTCAGGGAGCCCAGCACACTTCTTTTGTATTCTGAGACCAAGGCAGAGCTGAGGTGACCTCAGAGGACTCACTAGGAGGTGATGATGGTGATGAGAAGGGGTTACTTGGATTTAGGAAGCCGAATGCTATCTGCTTTACTAGCTGTGTGTTTTTTGGTCAAGTCATACCCACTCTCTGTGMAGTTTCCTGAATTGTTAAATGAGGCTAATGCCATCTCCCTGGTGGGATTGTCAAGAGAGGACGAAGGGTCTTGTACAGGGCTGGGTACTTAGGGACTCACAAAATGCTGGGTTTCCCTGGAGGATGATGAAGATAACCAGCATATAGGTACGAAGGACCAGGCCCACCACCAGTTTTGCCATCATATTTGAGTTGCTAGTGAYAAAGCTCAGGCTGGCAGCTCCTTTCCTTCATTGTCAGAAAGTCCAATTATGGGGCCAGTGATCAGAGTTTACTCACCTGGAATGAGGGGAAGATTGAGGGAACGGCARGCTCTCTCTTAACCCCAGGCGGTTTTCATGACCTCGAACTAAATGCCCAGCTGTGTCCCAGGTGCTTAAAACCTGGGATGGGGTAGGTTGGTTTCTGCCAGGAAAGCTAAAGAAAGAGACATTTGTCTTTCTTTGTGTGCCGACAACCTGACCAGAAAGGGAAGTCGCCTCTGGAGGTGACTGGCTGTGGGCCTCTGGTGGGTACCCAGAGTTTTGATTGCTGACAAGCTGGGTCCTTGGATAATTCAAGAGCCTCTTTCCTTTTTTGCAGATTGGGGATTAAAATACTGATCTTTTGGGTTTGTGGAGAGGACGAAGTAAGAAGCTGGGTAGGAAGTGTTTTGTTAATTGTAAAATGATATACTAATGTGAGCCAACATGCACTGCTAATAAGGACACTGTAATTCTTACTGTAAATGCCTTAGGAATTCGTTTTCTCCTTGCCCTTAGAAGAGTTTGGCATGTAGTAAGAACATACCAATAACACTCATTGAACACCTGATGATAAAGTGGTATGCTGTAGTTTGTAGAGAATGAGCAGTGAGCCACAAGCCCCGATCCAACCCTGACACTGTGGTCACTTTGGGCAACCCCTAGTTTCTCCATCTGATCAATGAAGGTTTGGGGAAGAGATCCTTAGTCCATGGTGTTAATGATAAAACGTGCCTCCAGAACTGGGTTTCTTCTTGATTGGTGTTGGGGTAGAAAAGGGATATGAAGAGAGACTGAGATCCTGTGTTTGTCCTTTTATGGGGACCAGGGACTTCCCTCTCCTCACCCCAGGCCTGTGAACAAGATTTTGTTAAAGAGGAGAGCTTTTTCTTTTCTTTTTTTTTTGATGCCCCCCCCTTTCCATACTGGGCACCCTAGTGGGTGGAGGCTTGGGCCCAGGAGGGCAACAACTGAGCCACAGCCTGAGAGCTCTCCTGATGGGTCTTGGGAGCTCTCCTGATGGGTCCTGGGAGTTCTCCTGGGAGCTGTGTTGGGAGTGGAGTCACTTCCCAAAGACAAATGCTGGGCTCCTAGCACAGCCACTTCCCTGAACAGCCACTCTTGGGTTCCCCAGCAGCATGACAAGAGCAAGAGAAGCCTCTGGTGTCTTTTTCTGTGTGCATGGGTATCTGGTTGTGAGGGCCAGATAGGGAGTTGGGTCTGGTTTTTGTCCATGGTGCATGAAGTGGTGCCTACAGGTGGGACTGGTATTGCTCTGACAGGTCCCAGAAGCAGGATTGCCAACAAAGCCTGCTGAAAGGGTGGTATGTCTGTGTGTCTTCAGTCAAGGGGGAATATGGAGCCAGACATGTGTGTGTGTGTGTGTGTGTGTGTGTGTGTGTGTGTGTGTGTCTGTGTGTCTCTGTGTGTGTCTGTCTGTGTATGGGGGGAAGGGGAGAAAGAGAGACAGAGAGAGAGAAAGAATGAATACRTGAGGAGGACCCCACTCAGCTGTTCTTCCCCTCCCTCTTAGTTTTCAAAAGGGGGATCCTTAGGGCCCAGGTTTGAAGCTGAGCTCAGGTGRCTGATGACAGAAATGTGCAGTGTTCTTTCTGGTTTAAAAAGTCTATTTCAATTTTCCAAGTGCTTTACTGTTTACCAAACTTTCTGTCACCCCACCCCCCAATAATCTTACTTCCTTTTTACAGTAATGCATSAAGGTAGTCAGGGAACCCCATTTTGCAGATAAAAGTCCCAAGGCTCAGAGCTGGCAAGAGACTTACTTGAGGTTGTATATGAYACTGTTGAGACCAGAGACCCAAATCCTCAATTCCAATTGCAGTGCTTTCTCTCCAACCACCCCTGGCTTCTTCCAAAAGAGACATAAATAGCTTGGTATATAGCTGATTTGCTTATTAACACATGTTTCTGAGAACAGTAGGTAAGAGAGTGCCCGGCTGTTAAGCAAATTGCTTCATTTGGCTGTCACAACTACCCTGTGAAGAAGGTTGTTTTGTCATCATTTTGTAGATGATGAAAGTTGGGAGAGCCTCAACCAGGAAAGAAGAGAGCTGAGAGCAGACTCTTCAGGGACAGTGATTGTACTCCATGTCCTCCCCTGGGCTAGGCCCTGGACTGGCCCTGAGGGCATCAGCAAAACCCAGGACTTCCAGACTGGGAAGAAGTGCTTGCAATTCTTGGTATAACAAAAGCCAGTACCCTGTGCTTGGGAGGCCCAGGGATGGAGGCATCTCCTCACTCCCTCTTCCCTGCCCCGGTTATTCCAGGAAGCAAGGTGAGGGAGAGTGACTCACAGACAGATGCCACCTGGGTATCTGGAGCAGGAGAGAACCTGGTTAGGCTCTAGGTCCCCCAATTCTATGGGGATTTCCTAGACCAGTTGAGTAGAGGCTGAGTCACATCAGTGTAATATGCATACCTGGTGTCAAGGTGGGGTCTCCAGGGAGGAGAATTGGAAATGGTCTTCTTTTGCCTTTCATTTCTTTTCATATTGTTCTGTATATTTCAGTGTATAAGGCTTCAGTCCTTGACTAAGCCTATTCCTGAGTATTTAATTTTATTTTTGCAGCACGGGGGATTGAACCCAGGGTKCTCTACCACTGAGCTACATCCCAGCCTTTTTATCTTCTTATCTTCTATTTTGTGACAGGGTCTGACTAAGTTGGGGAGACTGGCCTTGAACTTGCCATCCTCCTGCCTCAGTCTCATTATAGGCATGCACCACTAGGCCTTGCTCTTTTTTTTAAAATAGGGATTGAACCCAAAGGGCCTCAAACCACTGAGCAACATTCCCCAGCCCAATCCTCCTCCCCCCCCTTTTTTAAAAAAAGTCAGGATTTCGCTAAATTGCTTAGGGTCTTCCTAAATGGCTGAGGCTGGCTTTGAGTTTATGATCCTCCTGCCTCAACTTCTCAAGTTGCTGGGATTACAGGCATGTGCCATAGCACTCAGCTGGGGTTATTTTTAATACTATTGTAAATGGAATTTTATTTTTAAACTAATTCTTTCTTTTTTTGGGGGGGTGGTAGTGCTGGGGATCCTGGGGATCCAACCCAGGGCCTTGTGCATGTGAAGCAAGTGCTCTACCATTGAGATACATCCCCAGCCCCTAATTCTCATTTTTTAAAGGTCCATTTTCAAATCTTCATTTTGCCAATGAGRAAATGGAGACTCAGGGTCACAGAATGAGTTTACTGTTTGAAGAAGAATTTGATCCCAGCTCTGATGCAAGGCAAGAGTCAGGTGGATACAGAGCAGAGCCTGTCTTCCTTTTGCCTTTTTCCCTTTCTGACTTCAGGTTATAAAGGTAAAATCAAGGTCCCAGATCAAAGGCATCTCTTTTTGGGGCTTTACAGCATCTGGAACTTCTATTCTTGGGCCACAGGACAAGCCTATAAGTGAAGGAGTTGCCAAAGAGCTGTTGGCTTCTAGCAGGGACCACACCTTGGCCTAGGAGAGTCAAGATGGTCTTTGGAGTTCAAAATCCCTAGGTGTGGTGACACACCCCTGTAATCCCAGCTACTTGGGAGGCTAAGGCAGGAGGATCACAAGTTCAAGGCCAGCTTCAACAATTTAGTGAGACCCTGAGACCCTGTCCCAAAATAAAAAATAAAAAAGACTGGGGATGTAGCTTAGTGGTAGAGTCTTGCATAGCATGCACAAGACCCTGGGCTCCATCTCCAGTACCAACACTAAAAAAAAAAAAAAATATATATATATATATATAATATAATATAATATATTATAATATAATATATATAATGTGAAATATAATATATAATATATATAAAATAAAATAAAACAAAAAAGATGTCCAGTCTGTCACTCTCTGTGACTATGCAAAAGTCTATTTTCTTCTCTAACCTCACTTTTTTTCCCCTGGAAAAATAGGCATTTTATTTGAAAAAAATGGATGTAAAACCATCTTGCAAAGCTGATTTGAGCTGGAAATATGATTATGAGTAAGAAATGTCTACATTTCACTGGTAAATGATACTCAGTGCCTTGAGTTTAGGTGAGCTGACTCAGGTTCCCCTTCAACCACATAACTCCCTACAGAGCAAGAGGTTCTTGAATACAAGTGGGTATGCCCATAGGGAACCTGTATGTATCCCCCAGCCCCAGCTTCTAGCTCAAACTCAACTGGTAAATG